GATACTTAGCATTATGAAGGCAATGGCCTCAACCAATCTATCATCAAGACTCCTGCCTGTCCCTGGGGCTTCAGCTTGGCTTGGTTCCTGACTACTGACACAGCCTACTTCGGGTGTGTCCCCCTGAATGTCCCCCTACTTGCCCATCTGGACCCGAACCTACTGTACCCTGATTTACACTGGGTTCAGTTCATCTGTCCCTGCAGCTGCCTCTATCTTCCCTCTCAAAATGAGGCTTATCGATACAGACCCTGTTAACATCTCTACCAGACCACTTCTGAAATCTTGTGAACTCTGGGGTAGATCAACTTAACTTACATTCATGTAAACCACACATATGCAGACATATAAGTAGATTCACTGTGTGATGTATGACATGTGATATTAGAGTTCATATTAGTAATTTAGATTTGAATAAAAAGCCAGAGGTGGTGGTGCATGCCTTTAGGACAATCACCTGGGAGGCAGAGTCATGCAGATCTCTGAAGGCTTGAGGCTAGCTTCATCTTCTAGGCATGGTAAGACTACCTAGTGAGGCCTGTCATATAAAACAAGACTGAAATAAAAGAACTTCCATTTACCTCAGGCAGATTACAAAGGTAGAAGGAATTACCTAGTAAACTCTAGACATTGAAAGGGTTGAAACTTGAGAATTTTTTATTCAATAAATTCTGGCACTGTGGAAAGACACATATCTGTTTGTCTTTGTTTGTGACATAGCATAGCCACAGGAACTTGTTTGGGTTGTTTTGTTTTGTTTTGTTTTGTTTACTCTTAAGCCTCCTGGTTCCAAAACATGTCTGCTCTTGAATGTAGTTCATCCTGAAAATAAGCCTTCTGCACACACCAGGAGTTCTGATTCCCAATAACAACCCAAGCCTGACTCCTAACAAGCATTTAATAATGGCAATTGTGCAAATAAACCACATAAAGAAATGTGCATTTGGTATGATGAGAAACTACTGTTCTTTTTTAATAAGCAAACTATGTGTTAGATATTTAAGTCAAACTCAAGAGTGACAGCTGTCTTATCAGAATGCACATCCCTGGCTAGAGTGCCATCTTCACACCTGCTTTCCTAAGTCAATATTGTGAGTGCTCAGGGGCCCAGCATGTGAAGATTCTAAGGTATCCACAGTCACACAGATGCAGAGTTTGGCGGTCAGGGAAGTTAAACCTCAACTGTGTTCTGCATAGTCAGGAAAGCCTATGAAAGGTACCCTCAGTAAACTAAAGGATGTTTTTCTCTGCTGAATGCCGGGGTAGAGCTGACAGGAACGGAGCTCATCGTGTTGAAGCAACTGAGAAAAACACATCAAAGAGAAAGAAAACAACATCAAACATAGCTGGGGCTTTGGGAAGAAAAGCAGTTTATTTTCTAATCACACCATATTGGGTAGCAGAGGAGAGTGATGTCATTATTTTATTATTTATAACTGCTGGGACTTAGCCATATGAAACTTGGCAGAGTGATCTGGATGGCGGGCCACTTGTTTTGTGCTTTCATCATTAGTCACTCCTGCAGCCAAACACCAAAGCTATAGAAGGCAGAATCCGAGCATGGAAGACTTCCTGCTAGTCTAACATCTCATGTGTACCAAACACTCACATCATAGTGTGAAAGCGGGCAAGAGTACCGGACACCAGAGGTCATCTAGCTCTACTCCTCATGTTCTAGATGGCAAGAGGGCTGATATGGGGGCTACGAGCCTCTGTTCTGGCTCCATCACCCCACCCCCAGTGCATGACTTGAGGGAAGTAATCCAAATGCTTCAGATGGGTTTCCTAATTCAAATCCCTCTGGCCTCACCATCACCATCACAAACCAGGCCTGTGATGGTTAATCTAGTATTCAACTTGACTGAATCTGGGACCGACTAAGGACACACCACCATGTAGATCTGTGGGGGGACATTTCTTGGAAGAATTAACAGAAGAGGGGCAAACCCTCCACCAGAATGGATAGCACCTTCTGTCTGTGGCCCACATACAAAGAGATCTGAGGGATGGAAATGCTGCTTTTGCCCGCCAGCCTTTGCTCCCTGCTTGTGAGTGAATCTACTCTGTTGCTGCTGCTGCATTGCCATCCATCCTTTGCTGACATCAGAACCAACCTGCTTCAGCTTCCTGCCATGGTCTGGACACCTGTGGCTCTCCAGGATCCCTGCAAGCCTTTAGTATCAAACTGGAACTTCTGAGACATCCAGTTAGGTGGCCTGAGCAGCTATGAGGGTCCCAGCCTCTTGAGCAAGCAGGTAACCACTGTTGAACTGCCCAGCACAAAGTGTGTCTTCCAATCGAATCCTTTCCCTTTGTAATCTATACTTATTCCACATTCTGCTCGCCCTGGAGAGCCTTGGCTAATGAAGACATAGATACTGTGTGGCATGCTCTGCAAATCATACATCCTCATGGAGTCAAGATGAGCCATTCCGCTCCACTTAACAGGGGCTGGATGCCAAAGCATGGCACAAGCTGAGATCAGAGGGCTGATCTAGCACAGAGAAGCCTGCTGTGCAGCCACTGACCACAGAGCTCCGTAATTAAAGTTACACTTGCGATGTCAAATACATAACATATTGAAAGGCCTAGTACAGAGGAGGGTGGAGGGGGCTGCATATATTTTTATTCTGCATACACATCGAAATAATAGTTCAGTCTGTGGTGTTTAAGAAAATATATTATTAAAACTAATTTGCCTGCTTTGTTCTGTTTTGTTTTGTTTTTTTTTTTTTAACACGATTGGTGGATATTTGAATGCATCTGTCACCTGTTCACATTCTCTTCCTTTTGAACTCTTATTTGTCAATACCCCCCCAAATGCTTGGTCATCTTGTCATGTTACTCTCGGGAGGTTGTAGAATCTTTAGGAGGTGTGGGAGAAAGTAAGGATATTGCAGTGTGTCCTTTAAAGGGTACTATAACCCCTGTACCTTCCTTCCTCTTTGTTTCATGAGGTGAGCAGCTGTTCTCTCACACATTTTGCCCATAATGCTCCATGATGCCACAAGACCAAAGGAATGGGATCAAACCACACACTGAATCCTCTGAAACTATGAGCCAAAATAACCTTTCCTGCGTTCAGTGCATTGGCTCAGGTGTCTTTTCACAGCAGCGGCAGGTGACTGGCACATACACTCTACCTCTAAGCCCTGCTCTATCTCCTATCTTATCAAACCACCATGGATTAAAGCTGGACTTCAACAACAGAAACAACAAAGAAGCCTACAAACTCATGGAAACTGAACAACTCTCTACTCAATGACCACTGGGTCAGAAAAGAAGAAAGACTTTCTAGAATTCAATAAAAATGAAGGCACAATATATTCAAACTTATGGGACACAATGAAAGTAGTGCTAAGAGGAAAGTTCATAGCACTAAGTGCCTTCATAAAGAAATTGGAGAGATCTCATACTAGCAATTTAAAAGCACACTCAAAAGCTCTAGAACAAAAAAATCAAACACATCCAAGAGGAGTAAATGGCAGGAAATAATCAAACTCAGGGTTGAAATAAGTAAAGTAGAAACAAAAAAGTACAATATAAAGACTCAATAAATCCAAGAGCTGGTTCTTTGATAAAAATCAACAAGAAAGACAAACCCTAAGCCAAACTAAATAAAAGGCAGAGTGACAATATCCAAAGTAACAAAATCAGAAATTAAAAAGGGGATGTAACAACAGACACCAAGATAATCCGAAGAATTATTAGGTCTTACTTCAAAAGCCCGTCCTCCACAAACTGAAAATAGCTAAATGAAACTGGTGATTTTCTTGATAGATACCATTTACCAAAGTTAAATCAAGATCAGGTAAATAATCTTAAATAAGCCTACAACTTCTAAAGAAATACAATAAGTCATTAAAAATCTCCCCCAAAAAAAGTCCAAGGCCAGATGGTTTGGGTACAGAATTCTACCAGACTTTCAAAGAAGAGCTAATGCCAATACTCTTCAAATTATCTCGCAAAATAGAAACAGAAGAATAATTGCAAAATTCAATTTATAAGCCCACAATCACTCTGAAACCCAAACTATAGAAAAACTCGACAAAGAAAAAGAATTTCATACCAATCTCCCTTATTAACATTGATGCAAAAAATACTTAATAAAATACAAACTGAATCCAAGAGCACATCAAAAACATCATCCACCATGATCAAGTAGGCTTCATCCCAGAAATGCAGGAATGATTCAACATATAAAAATCCATCAATGTAATTTACCATAAAAAAAAAAACCCACAATAGATGCTAAAAGGGCCTTTGACAAAATTCAACACCCCTTCATGTTAAAAGTCTTGGGGAGATCAAGGATACACGATCCACACAATAAAATTAAATGGAGAGAAACTTAACGCAGTTCCACTAAAATTAGGGACCAAACATGCCCACTGTTGCACTCATTTTTAAACTGTTTTATTTGGGGCTCCTTAAAGCCTCTCCCTTCCAACCCCCCAATCCTAGGTAGGAGAGAAGAGGTTAGTGGATAGAGGGGGCACAGACCCCTTTACTTCTCTTGGCTGTTTATGGTCGATGGGTTCTTTTAGGGCTATACGACTCTCTGTCAACAGCAAAAGCAGCCGGCAGTCTCCTCCAAACCACCACACCTGGAAGCACTTCTGTCTGTCTGTCTGTCTGTCTGTCCGTCTGTCTGTTCCAAACTGCCACACCGTCAGTCTCTGCTGGTACCACCACATACACCTCCTTCTCCTTTGGTCTGGGCTCTCATATTTATATCCTCAGAGCCCTAAACCACACCCCTCCCCAGGCTGCACAAGGCAGGCTGTTACCAGCCGTCAAAAGGCCCTGACCCACCACCAGACAGTTATCAGCTGTCCCACACTTGAGATTAAAACAAAAGCACATTTATGTAACATAACTGAGTTTTTTTAAAGAAACCAAAACTTCCCTTAGAGCCCATTCTCTCTATCTTATCTCATTAGATGCTGAAAAGGCCTTTGACAAAATCCAGCACCCCTTCATGATAAAAGTCTTGGAGACCTGCCCTAGAAGCATTGCAGCTGTCGCATGCTTTTCATTGCCGTGTCGCATGTGTATCAGTGGGGCAGAGAGTGGAGAGGCTAAGTCTACACGCAGTGTCTGAGCTGTGAACATCTGAATATCAGTAGCCTACCATTCCCTAAAAGAAGCAAGCCTGAGATGGCCACCAGTCTGGCACCAGTCCCATGCTGTGCAGGCCCCAATGGCTCCCGGGACCAGGAGCAAATGAGAGACTAAAAGAAACCTGCTTGGGAGTGATCCCCAGACAGACGTCCCTCACTTGGGGCCACTCAGGTGGGCCAGGTGAGACAACTACGGCCCAGGAGGCACGCAGGCCTGGGGGGCGGGATGCAAGCCATGTCTGATACGAACACTGAGTGGTGTAATAATGCACAAGTGGGGCATAGCACCCCTGAGACCACTCCTGAGATGACCCCAGACACTCAGCGACCCTGGGCACCTCTAAGAGGAGCAAGTACTGGTGGAGAAATGAAAGAGAAACGGAAGGATGAGGGTCGAATGAAGACAGGCAGAACTGGAGACGAAAGGGTAAGAAACACCCTGAGTAGCCAGTGATGCTTCCTGGGACCGTGGTGGACCTAAAGCAGCAGAAGTGTTACCACTAAAGGCCCGGGAGACATCCCTGGTCTGCCCCAGCACATGTTGGTATCTGAGGGGTGTACAGAACTGGCCCCACCCCTTACTTGGACATCAGGGGAGAGCTGGTTATGGGGTCATGACAGCAGGAAAGCTGACCCCACCCCTAGCCAGCTGTAGTACTTGGGAGAGCTGCCCTGCACATTGTAAAAGTTGCAGATGAGCCAGCCTCTAAGGATATAAGCATGGGAGTGCTGTCTCTACAACTCATCTCCTGTGGGGTGGTGTGGAGAAGGTAGAGATAACTTCCTCCCCTTCCCATCACCACCTGTAGTGGGCATGAGACCTGGCCCTGGGTTCATAAGAACAGGAGAGCTAGCCCTGCCCTCACCAGCTGCAGCACTAGAGGAACAGGCCCTGCCCCCTCACCTGGGCAGCACAGTAGAGCTGACCCTGATGGCAGGGGCATGGGTGAGCCAACCCCAAAGGTGTGAACATGGGAGAGCTGGCCCCACAACTTGTCTGCCATACAGTGACTGGAGCAAGGAAAAGGAAGGAAAAGGTGCCCCCTCCCTTGCTTCTTGTCACCAATGGCAGGCAAGAGAGCTGGTCCCAAGTCCATCAGAGTGAGAAAGCTGGCCCTGCCCCTCACCTGCTACAACACTCAGGAGAGCAGGCCCTGTCCCTCACCTGGGCATCACAGTAGTGCTGTCCCTGGATGTGGAGATTGCAGCTAAGCTGGCCCTGCCTCTCATCTGCTGGTGGTGGTGTGATCAAGGGAGAAATGCCCTCCTCCCATCTCTCATCCCTCATCTATGGCAGTCAGGAGAGCGAGACCTGGGGTCATGAGAGTGACAGAACTTGCCACGTCCCTCACCAGCTAGAACACTTGGGAGAGTGGGCCCTGCACCTCACCTGGGCAACAGAGTAGAGCTTGCAAGGTTGCAGAGGTTGCTGGTGAGCTGCCCCTGAGGGCATGAGGGCAGAATAGCCAGCAGGCTGACCAGCTCAGATACCTCTCAGGCCTAGATCCATTGCTTTAAATTGATTTGATCTACCCCAACATCTACCCCATTGATGAACTGCTTAAGTGCATGAAGGGGCCAGTGTTACAAATCCAAAAACTACAGGCCCTCCATGGCACATGGCAACAACAGGGTATCTGAAAGGCATCCCACAGAGGGTCCAGTATTATAAGTGTAGCAGACCAACAAATAATTGCAGTGCACATTGGCAAGCAAAGAAATGTAGACAACAGTGTATATGGTGGAATATACTGTGACACACTACAGCTTCCACAATAAGAATTTTGTTTCTCTGTTGGGGGAAAGAGGTTGTCAGAGTAAAAGGCAGTTATGAGGAGAAAGAAAGATGAGTGAAATTGGGAAATTGGGCTACATGATATGAAATTCACAATTAATTAATTAATACAATAAAAGTTTTTTTTTAAAAAAAGGAGAGAGATCAGAGATACAAGGTGCATACCCTAAACATAACAGAAACAAAATACAGCAAGCCAATATCCAACATCAAATCAAATGAAAAATTTAAAGCAATTCCACTAAAATCAAGGACAAGACAAGGCTGCCCACTCGCTCTGTAGCTATTCAATATAGTACTTGATGTTTTAGGTGGAGCAATAAGACAACTAAAGAAGATCAAGGGGATATAATTTGGAAAGCAAGAAGTCAAAGTATTCCTATTCACAGATAATATGATAGTATATATAAATGACCCAAAAAACTCTATCAGGGAACTCCTACAGCTGATAAACACCTTCAGCAAAGTGAATAGAAACAAAATTAATTCAAAAAAAAGTCAGTAGCCCTCCTTTATACAAATGCTACACGGGCTGAGAAAGAAATTAGGGAAACAACACCTTCACAATAGCTGCAAATAACATAAAATGTCTTGAAGTAACTCTAATGAAGCAAGTGAAAGACCTGTATGACAAGAACTTCAAGTCTTTGAAGAAAGAAATTGAAGAAGAGATCAGAGGATGGAAAGATCTCTCATGATCACAAACCAGTAGGGTTAACATAGGAAAAAATGGCCATCCTACCAAAAGCAATCTACAGAGTCAATTTAATTCCCGTCAAAATACCAACACAATTCTTTACAGACCTTGAAAGAACAATATTCAACTTCATATGGAAAAACAAAAAAAGCCAAGCTAGCAAAAAAACACTTTACAAAAAAAGAACTTCTGGAGGTATTACCATCCATGATTTCAAGCTGTACTACATAGCAATAGTTAAAAAAAAAAAAAAAAAGTCAACTACTGAAATGGAAATGAAGACCCAGAAGTAAATCTACACACCTATGGATACTTGATTTTTTATGAAGAGGACAAAATTACACAATAGAAAAAAGAAAGCATCTTCAACTAGTGCTGGTCTAACTGAATGTCTGCATGTAGAAGAATGCAAAGAGATTCACATCTATCACCCTGCTCAAAATCCAGGTCTAAGTGGATCAAAGATCTCAACATAAAACCAGAAACACTAAATCTATTATTAGAAGAGAAAGTGGTAATCAGCCTTGAAATCGTTGGCACAGGAGACAACTTCCTGAATATAACATTAACAACTCAGGCTCTAAGATCAACAATTAATAAATGGAACCTCATGAAACTATGAAAACCTTACTTCTCATAACCTTACTTCTATAAGGCAAAGGGACAAAAGGACAAAATGGCAGACTACAGAATGAGAAAAGATTTTCACCAACTCCATATCTGACAGAAGTCTGATATCCAAAATATATAAAGAACTCAAGAAACTAAACATCAACAAACTAAATAACCCAATTAAAAATAGAAAGAACTAAACAGAGAATTCTCAACAGAGGAATCTCTAATAGCTGAGAAGCCCTTAAAGAAATGTTCGACGTCCTTAGTCATGAAGGAAATGCAAATCAAAGTAATTCCATTTTACAACCATCAGAATATGACAACACATGCTGGAGAGGATGTGAAGAAAGGGGAACACTCCTCCATTGCTGGTGGGAGTGCAAACTTGTACAACCACTTTGGAAATCAATCTGGTGCTTTCTCAGAAAATTAGGAAGAGCTCTACTTCAAGACCCAGCTATACCACTCCTGGGCATATATCCAAAAAGATGCTGTACCATACCACAAGGACACTTTCTCAACTATGTTCATAGCAGCTTTACTCATAATAGCCAGAAACTGGAAATAACCAAGATGTTCCTCAACCAAAGAATGGATCTAGGAAATGTGGTACATTTACATAATGGAGTATTACTCAGCTACTTTAATAACAATGGCCTCCTGCCATTTGCAGGTAAATGGATAGAACTAAAAAGGATCATCCTGAGTGAGGTAACCCAGACTCAAAAAGACAAACATGGTAAGTACTCATTTATAAGTGAATATTAGCTATAAAGAAGAAGATGATCATGCTACCATCCACCCAAAGAAGCTAAGTAGCAAGGAGAGCCCAAAAGGGAACACCTGAATCTCACTGAGAAGGGGAAACTGATTAGACATTGGGGGTGGATGGAAGGATAGAACTGGGTGGGAGAGGGGGTGGTGATGGGAACAGGATGGATCAGGTGAGGAAGATGAAATGAGTACTAAGACAGACAACTGGATGGGGGCCCATCTTTGGGATGAGCTAGAAACATAGGACAATGGAAACTACCAGGAATCTATAGCTGAAACTACAGATTCCTAGCTGAAACTCCTAGCAGTGGGGATTATGGAGCCTTACGGTCTCCACCTCCTGCAGCCAGGTGTGACTTCCAGTGGAGGAAATGAAACACCAATCCACCCATAAAAGCTTCAACCCTTCAACACAAAATTTGTCTTGCCTACAAGAAGTGTAGGGATTAAGATGAAGAAGAGATTGAGGGAATGGCAAATCAATGACTGGCCCAACTTTAGGCCTATCCCATGGGAGAGATCCAGTCCTTGTCACTATTAACGATACTCTGCTATGCTTGCAGACAGGAGCCTAGTATAACTGTCTCCTGAGAAGCTTCATCCAGCAGATGATGAAAACAGATGTGGAGACCCACAGCCAAACAGCAGGCTGTGATCAGGGAGTTTTGTGGAAGAGTGGGAAGAAAGCTAGAGGGAGCTGGAGGGGTCAAGGACAACACAAGAAGACCTACAGAGTCAACCTACAGAATCTGAGCCCATAAGGGCTCATAGAGACTGAACTGCCAACCAGAGAACAGGCATGGGCTGGACCCAGGCCCTCTGTACATACGTAATAGTTGTGCAGCTGGGTCTTCATGTGGGACTCCTAAAGCAGGAACAGGGGCTGTCTCCGACTACCTTTAGATCCCTTTCCCCTAACTGAGCTGCTCTATCTAGCTGCAATAGGAGAAGATGAACCTAGTCTTACTGCAACAAGATTGATTGATATCCATGGGAGTCTCCTCCTTTTCTGAGAAGGAATGGACGTGGGGCAGGGAGAGGAGGAGGAGGAATTAGGAGGCTTGGGGGGAGGGTAAGCTGTAAAGTAAGTAATTTTTTTAAAAGCTGTGTTTCTGTATTAATTCTATAGTTGATAAATAAATAAGTAAATCATAAGTAAATAAAACCTTTTTACTAGAGAACCAAATGCTGCAACTACCTTAGCACCTAAATATGATAATCTACTAGTTTTCTCTCATAACTATGAAAGTCAGATGATGATGGCAACAGCTCACAGGTTTGGTGTCTTCCATGTGGCTAGCACTAAGTGCTTTCCAATACAGTATTATCCCAACAACCTACAAGTCAGGTATATCATTAGCTTCGGCTTGGGATGAACTGAGACACTAGCTAGCTCAAACATAGGATGAATGTAGAAGCTAGCAAAGACAATCTGACTTGAGAGTCCATTCTTCTGAGCACCACATTCAACTACCTACTCCTGACACATATAAGGTATATATGTATTTGTATGCATAAATGCATGTGTATAAGTACTGGAAGATCTTTCACGTAGAGAAAATTAACTATGGATATGTATTATGTGATCTAGTTTCAATCTAGTGAAGGTTTTATGAGGTTTGGGTTGATGTTACTAAAAAGAAAAAGTGTGCTCCAGGCAGCCAGATACACTAAGTCTAGACATATACCGACCCCTCCCAACTTTCTATTAATGAGACAGAGAAAGTGACTCCAGGTGAATTTAATCTTACTCATCTTTTAAACTTTAAGTCTGGCCATCAAAATATGAGGTTGACAATTGTAATGCCCTACTGGCATACCTGAGCATAATATGAAAATAAATTGTCTAATTTTATTTTCATTTGCCTGTGGTCCTGTCCAGTTCTTGACTGTTGTTCTTCACAACATGGTTGATATGTTGTTATCATAGTATTTGTCTCATGTGTTTTCCCAGAGTCATCTGTTTCTGAGATTATTATCTCAAGGATGACTGTCAATGAGATTCTCATTGCTTGGGTGGATATTCTTGGAATGGTGGTCCCAAAGATGACTCTTAGGGAGATTCTCATTGCTCAGGTCGCTGTTCTAAAAACGGTACCGAGGATGACTTTTGTTGTTTGCGCTGTTGCTCTGGGGATGGTGGTCCCAGGGATGGCTGTTCATATACCTCTTGTTCAAGTTGTGCCTTTGGAGTTGGTGGTCCCAGAAATGACTGTGCACTTTGTTGCTCTGGAGATGATGGCCTCAGGGATGACCTTACAGGTATCTCTTTTTGTTCAAGTTGATGCTCTGGAGGTGTTGGTCCCAAGGATGATTGCTCAGGAAATTCCTTTTGCTCAGGTTTTTGTTCTAGAGGTGGTTCTCCCAATGATGATTTTACAGAGGATTGTCGCTGCTCATGTCTTTGGTATGGTGTTGATGAAAACTCTTCTGATGATTTTCGTCCGATTGATGGCTCTTTTTGAATTTCTGCTTCTACTTGGGTTTCTGACAGTGCAGGTATGGGTTTTTCTTCTACCATGTCATGTTGTTCTTTTTCTTTTTTTTCAATAAACAAAATAAGACAAAATCACCAATAAATATAGTAGCCATCTAAATCACAGACAAAGAAATTTTGCTATCATAATATCAATGATTTCATTTAAATGGTGAAATTTTTCACACAGGATAGTAAACGTGAAATGCTAATTGTACCATCACATTTGCTCTCATGTAGAAACACAACCTTAAGCAAGTATTAGGAGAGAAGAGATGCCTGAGAAGAGGGAATAAAGGACAGATATTAATTACACAGATGTAATTAATCTGTTGATCATTGAAAATTAAATGGCTAAGGAAAGACTTGTGTTTGGTTTTTGTTTTTGTTTTATGCATCACTGAGACAGGGAAGGCACTTTTATGAAAAGAAAAGGGAAAAAATGAGAACACAAGAGAATCTGGAGCTTGTGTTCCACACAAACAAGACAGCCTGTAAAGTACATGGAAGAAGCCTATCAGCTCTTCCTGACAAACCACATTCACCAGGGAAAAGCCAAACACATTCCTACAGAGATAAGTGCAATTGAGCCAAGGAAATCAGGACCATCACCCTTTGAAAATAACACACACACACAAAGATGTCTTCCTAGAAGGGCCTCACAGAAGTAACCCAACTGTCATGCATAAGATTCACCATGTTTACCTTCCCACCAAGACCTAGTCTCCCTTTCATCTACAGATGCAAGCGCCACGTCCCAAATCAGACACCTCAACTCCTGTTTCACCCTAACCCCTTGTTTCCATTATGCCAAGTCTAGAGCATTTGGTCTATTCCCAAAAACCGGTTAGTCCTTATGTGGCCCCACTGCCTTGGCCCAGCCCCCCCCCATCTTATAGGAACTAGGGTTACACACTAATACTTTCTTGCCTTCCTATCTTCTCTTTGCTATTATGTAACACATAAATTTGCTCAACTATCTCTCTGGTTTAGGATTTTCTACAAGACCAAAGACTTTATAGCAAATGAAAGCCTGGCAGCCACGATCAGCTGGCCACCATATCTGCATTCCCAACCACCTGCATCTTAGCAGAACAAATAAGTAGTTACAACCAAAGGAAAGTGAGACACAATTTGTTCCTTTTGGACTGAGAAGATTGAGTGTTTGATAGAACTTGCTCCTGTCCCTTCCTTCCTCTTTGGCATGAATTCAGAGACTAGATGCTGATGGGCAACATCATAGCACCAAGGAGACCTGGATCACACAGGGGAGGAGAGAAGCTCTGTATAGATGCCACCCCACAGAGGGATTTCTGTGGTCATTAAGGAATGCTCTGCTATGCCAATTGGGGATTGGTATTTCTTACTGCAATTCAGCCTACCTCCATCACTGACATAAAAGAAAAAAGAGCCAAGCTCTGCACTACCGCCTTTATGTTCCTCTCCTTTCTCACACAACTAGCCTGTGACTCCACCCACACCCAATGAGTAGAACTTCTCAAAATCCACTGCAGCTCTGCCACGGACCTTAATACTCTGAACCCTCTGCCCACAGCCCCTTCTCTATGGTGTCTGCCTGGCAAATCCCTGCTAACCATTAACAGTTCTCCTTTACACAAGTCTTGCATTTTGGCAGCCTCCTTTCCAGGCCCATTATTCTAATTATGGCCTTTCTCCAGATATACACTGAATTTCTCTACCTTCCCACTTAACATAGGCAACCTTCTATACCCAAGTCCCACCCAAACACACATAGGTTTGCTCAGAACAGTGTGCCTGTGTTGTGTTCACATACATTCCTTCCTCAGTTAGCACACACCCAGGCCACAATGAACAGTTTATACTGGGCATTTTGATGAAGGACAATAATGGCATTGGAATCCTGCATTCAGAATAGCCTTGGACAAGCCCCACTTCCTTCTCTTGGTTTCAGTGAATTATCTCTTGGAAAATAGAAAAAAAAATGCATGTCTGTAGGAACTGTAGGAATATGGTAATAAATAGCTGAAAATGTGCTATGAGAAGAAAAAAAATCAATGCTTACATCATGCAATGCCCATTGTTATAAAATCTTAAATACTGAAAATAAATGCTTACGTGATGTTGTACCCATTGTTATAAAAGCTTAATAGTGAAAATAACATATATACATACATAATCCAATACCCATTGTTACGAAAGCTTAAATAGTGAAAATAGATGCATGAACCAGAAGTTTGGAAGAAAACATAAAGCCTGTCATATGTCATGTATCAGCCAGATGAAAGTCAGAGGCCTAGGACGGAAGTTGTTCCTGGCCCCTGACTCCTCACTGACCCCTAGTGAATGCAGTTAGGACTCCACCTAAAGGTAGTGGCAGGACCCAGGCCATGAGCAACTGAGGCAGGACTTGTATCTTACTCCTCGGTTTTCTCAAGCTCCCAAGTGCCATATGGAAGAAACTCAGAATGTTTGATAAATGAAAAAATAAAGGAATAAATCATGATTAAACCAGAAGTCCCCTCAACCCATCTACATAGATACTTACCGAAGACACATGACATTAGAATGAGCAAAATAAGAAATACAATAAAGGCATGAACATATATTTATATAGATAAAGTATTTACATAACAAAAGGAAGATACAAAGCAGTAGTTCGGCATCATATCTGCTCTCTGTGAAGATATATTTGAATGCATTTTCAAAGTCCTTGGGATTCACCTTGTCTTTCAAACACAACCATCAGCAAGATTGGTGAGCTGCTCTAGGCACTGCCTATGATTTCTATACAGTCTCCTTTCACAGTTCAGACTATAATCGGATCAACTTCTAACTGCAGCTAAGGCAGTCCCCTGCACTGTACCAGGAGCACTTGCTCAACTGAGGTTTCCTGCTTAGATCCCAAGCCTAGCACAGCTAGGAGCCAGTGTATCCAAAGCTGAAAAACCCTTCTCTCACAGAAGGCAGAAAAACCCAGATGTGGCAAAGAATAAAGTAACTTCACTCTCAGTGACCCCAAATGTTCCTCTGCCCACACCTGCAAATCATCAATGAAGCACAGTGCATTCTCTTACCAGGAGTCGGAACCACTTCTTTATTCTTGCAGAGGTTCGTGAGAGATGCTAAAATGAAAAGGAACATAGAGGTTAGTGAACTGAACAGAGGATTCAATGTGAGCCTTCATTGGGACACCTATGGCTAAGAGAACCAGTGTAATGCAACCTTCTGGAGAGCTTGGAGAGAATTTCACACCAATGAAAGTGACCCTACTGAAAATACAACCATGTTTTTGTTATGTAGAACTAGATGCTGACATTATCGTTCTTTGGATAATGACTGGATGTTCATTTGCCCACTTCCTTTCTCAAACAGAAAAGCATATTTTGTTTGAGTTTATTGGCTTTGCTCCCTTCTCCAGCTTCACAGTGCTCCCAGCAGCTGGTGGTAGCAATTCTTATGTTGTACTTTGCAACACAGGTAACGGATCATCTCCAGCAGGACACGTGAAGCTAATCTGGGAATCCTGGATCACATAAAAATAAAAGAATATTTGCTCTAAAATGAAGAACACCAAATTGAGCCACGTGTAACTGACACCATTCATGCATACAGATATGATATAAATGCAATACGACTTCTCTGCAGACCTGCCACAGGTAAGCATTCCAACAAATGAGCCTGCTTGGATTTCAGGTACATTGTGAAGTCTGCAAGAGGCTTTGTGCTCCCTACCAGCTGAAGATAAATTGCTGTATTCAAGTGTCCTTATGTTTCAACACTGGCGTCCACACAGCTAACACAGAAACATTTTTGTTTTAATAAGCTTTTCAGTTCTGATGAACTCTGGAGCAGGGTTCAACAGAATTAGACCAGTGCTATTCTAAAGACCTGACATCCGGCATCTAGGATGAAAAAGATGGGCCTGTGCAGTATCAAAGCTTATTGCCATTAAAGAAGGAATGTGAGAGCCCATGAAGGGACTGGCTGAAGAGATTGCATTGCCAACAGCAGCAGCAGAGAAAGCAAAACCAAGAACTAAGAAGCTGAAGAGAAGGCTGGTTTCCATTAAAACTGTGAGGTTTCAAAGGCCACCACAAATCACCTGGCCAGGGCCAGCATAGCAGTCCTTCATCCACTGAGAAGTCCAGCTGCTACACTCCCAGCTGAAAGCCCTGTGGGGCTGGGGGGGGGGGGGAGGAGGCTCAGTCTATAGAGTGCTTGCTCAGCATGCACAAAGGACTAAGTTCCATCCCAATCTTCACACAAACTAGTGCATGCCTGTAATCCTAGCACTGGTGAGATGGAGGCCAGAAGAGTTCAAAGTCATCCATGGCTACATGACAAGTTTGAGGCCAGCCTGGGATACACGAGAACCTGTCTCAAAAACAATAAACCTTGTTCCTGCCTGCCTTCAGTTTTGCGTTGCTAGAACATCAAAGGGGCAGCAGCTTATGATTCAAGATGTTAGCTGGCCATTTGTAAAAATAAATTATTATTTGATTTATGACGTGACCCTGAAATGTTAGAAGCCCAAAGTTAGAGAGCATTTAATTTTTGGCTGTCAGAGCTGTTACCTAGGTAACTGATTCTCTGCAGCTAGAACTAATTGCCCTTACATATTTCACAAAGGCATTTCCCAAGTGCTATAGGAATCACGGTTAAATCAGAAAGTGCTTTATACTCAGTAAATCTCTTGTCAGTGTCAGGAAAGTATTCCCTATCAGTGGTAGCTCTGTGGTGACAAGTTTACCTTGGGGCTCTCTGGCAGCCACCACTGATTGTCTAGATACAAAACCCATTTATTGGGGATCTAAGATGATGGTGCCGAGAGGACACTGCATCTGACGAGCAGGACAGCAGTAACTACACTGCAATCAACAGACCTAACTCTGGGTACTAAAATACCAGAGACCGTGTTTCCCAGGTGACAGGAAGCCCCATGGTGTGGGAAGCAATCGGGTCCATTCTCAGGGTCACCAACTAAACCCTGGAAGAGTTCATGGGTCCTGGCAGGTGAGTCACCAGCCCAGGACCACATGCCTGTGTGCTCCAATCACATCTCAGACTGAACTGTGGGCGCCATAACATCAGAGACTGGGATTTCCAATAGAGCGAAAACCCCACAGTGAAGGAAGCAATCAGGACCAACTGACCTCAGGTCACCCAGACATCCCTGGAAAAGGTCCTGGGTTCCCGCAGGCACTTAGATGCCAGCCCAGAGACCCACCTGTGCACCCAATTAACCATCCCAGACACAACTGTGGGCCCCAAAGCACCAGAAACTGGGCTTCTGTTGGAAGGAAACCCCAGGGTAAAGGAAACATCAGGTTCAACCTCAGGGCACCCAGCTGAACACCACCACCACCACCATCACCACCACCACCACCACCACCACCACCATGAAAAGTTCCTGGGAAACATTCCCAGGTTTCTGAAGGCTCCCAGTCGCCAGCACAGAGTCACTCAACTGCACTTGTGTGCTCTTCTCACAATCCCAGAGTGAACTGTGAATAACCAAACACCACAGACTGGGTCTCCCTGCTGGGAGGAAACCCCATGGTGAGGGAAACATCAGATCCAACTTCACAACTCCCAGCTAATCCCCAGAAAAGTTCCTACCACAGGCCTGAGCACTGCACTCAGCTGCCACTGATTAATGCTTGAGTACTAGGGCACAGAGCTCCAACCTCAGATCTATAGAAGCTTGAGATCCATGGGATCAGCCCCCAGACACTGTGCCAAGGTGCAACCTGTCTCCTTAGCCAAACTGACCAAACCACGAGTCTCCCTGGTTCTTGAAGAAGGCTGCGCCCAGCAAATACAGTGTTAGAGCAGCAGCAGCAGCTCACTAAATTCAGAACAAGAAACCCAGTAGCAAGGCGGCTGTCTTAAGGATTTCTCCAGGTGAGAGGAAAGTCCCCCTCACTACCACGAAATTACCACACAGGTCCATACACCTGAGGTGAGCTGTGGCACTTCCCTGAGAAGCACCGGCTATTTGGTGACCATATCCAAAAAGCTGAGGCGGCCTTCTTCAGGAACAACCATCTTCTGCCAAAGGAATTGTCCCCACCCCAGGATTCCAGCAGGCACCAGAAACTAACAGCCAACACCTGAGACAGCCAGATGGGTAGATGCCAGCAAAGAAGCACAACCAACAAAAGCCAAAGCAATATGGCATCTCCAGAACCCAGTTATAAAGTGGTAAGTAGCCCTGAACACCCTAACGGAAGAGGATAATGAAGGAAATAAATAAAGTGTGTAAAGAAAGAGAGAAAGATGAAGACAAGCAGATTATGGCCATCCATAAAGAAATACAAAAAGATGCAGCCAAACAGTATGGGGCCTTCAGAGAGGAAATAATTAAATCACTGGAAGAAATAAAAGAAACAGGAATGTTCCAACAGGTGAAGGAAATGAAGGAAAAGCAGGAAAATACAGTCAGACAGGTGAAGGAAGTCAACAAAACGGTTCAAGATCTGAAGATAGAATTGGAAAAATTAAAGAAAACACAAAAGGAAGAAGTCGTGGAGAGGAAGAACTTAGGGAAGAAAACAGGAACTACAGAGATAAGCATAACCAACAGAATACAAGAAATGGAAGAAAGAATCTCAGGTGTGGAAGATATGACGGAAGAAATAGATGTATCTGTCAAAGAAAATGTCAAATCTAAAAAATTTCTGACACAAACCATCCAAGAAATCCAAGACAACATGAAACAACAAAACCTAAGAATAAAAGGAATAAAGAAAAAAGAAGATTCCCATCTCCAAGGCCCAGAAAATATTATCAACAAAATCATAGAAGAAACTTTCTCCAATTTAAAGTTGACACCTATAAGCATACAAGAGGCCTACAGAACACCTAATAGATTAGACCACAAAATAAAATCCTCCTGCCACATAATAATCAAAACAGTAAATATACAGAACAAAGAAAAAAGCTGCAAGGGAAAAGGGCCAAGTAAGATATAATGGCAAACCCATCACAATCACACCTGACTTCTCAACAGAGACTATGAAAGCCAGAAGGGCCTGTACAGATTTCATGCAGACCCTAAGAGAACACAGGTGTTAGCACAGACTATAATACCCAGCAAAACTCTCAGTCATCATAGATGGAGAAAACAAGATATTCTACGACAAAAACAAATTTAAACAATACCTACCCACAAATCCAGCATTACAGAAGATACTAGAAGGAAAAATACAACCCAAGAAAACTAACTACTTTCAGGAAAACACAGAAAATAAATAACCTCACTATAGCAAAACTAAAAGTAGCCAAGCACACAAACATACCACCACAACCAACATCAAAATCAAAGGATATAATAGCCACTGGTCATTAATCTCTCTCAACATCGATGGACTCAACTCTCCAATAAAAAGACAGAGACTAACAGAATGGATGCATAAACAAGACCCAATAATCTGTTGCATACAAGAAACATTTCTAAGTCACAAAGATAGACATTACCTGGGAGTAAAGGGCTAGATGATGGTTTTCCAAGCAAATGGACCCAAAAAGCAAGCAGGAGTAGCCATTCTAATATCTAATAAAATAGACTTTCAACCAAAATTAATCAAAAGAGATAGGAAAATCACTTCAGCCTCATCAAAGGAAAATGCCACCAAGAAGATATCACAATACTGAACATCTATGCCTCAAATACAAGGGTACCCACATTTGTAAAAGAAACATTAATAAAACTTAAACCACATATAGATCCCCACACATTGATGGTGGGAGACTTCAACACCCCACTCTCAACAAAGGACAGGTCAACAAAACAGAAATTAAACAAAGAAATAATGACACTAAGAGATGTCATAAATCAAATGGACCTAACAGATACGTATAGAACCTCTCACCCAAACACAAAAGAATTTACCTTCTTCTCAGCACCTCATGGAACCTACTTCAAAATATACCATATAGTTGGTCACAAAGCAAGCCTAAACAGATACAAGATTGAAATAACCCCTTGTATCCTATCAGACCACAATGAACTAAAGCTGGACCTCAACAACAACAAAATAGCAAAAAGCCTTCATGCACATGGAAACTGAACAACTCTCTACTCAATGACAGCTGGGTCAAGGAAGAAATTTTTAAAATTAAAGACTTTCTAGAATTCAATGAAAATGAAGGCACAACATACCCAAACTTATAGGACACAGTGAAAGCACTGCTCAGAGGAAAGTTCATAGCACTAAGTGGCTTCATAAAGAAATTCAAAACAAGCAACTTAATGGCTTACCTGAAAACCCTAGAAGGAACAAAAAGAAGAAGACACACCCAAGAGGAATAGACAACTGCAAATAATCAAACTCAGGGCTGAAGTCAATAAACTAGAAACAAAGAGAACAATTCAAAGAATCAATGAAACCAAGAGCTGGTTCTTTGAGAAAATCAACAAGGTAGACAAACCCTTAACCAAATTAACTAAAAGGCAGAGAGACACTATCCAAACCAACAAAATCAGAAATGAAAAGGGGGACATAACAACAGATACTGAAGAAACCCAAAGAATCATTAGGTCTTACTTCGAAAGCCTATACACCACAAAATTTTAAAATCTAAATGACATGGACAGTTTTCTTGATCGATTTCACTTACCAAAGCTGAATCAAGGCCAGGTAAATAAATTAAATAGTCCTATATCCCCTAAGAAAATAGAAGCTGCCATCAAGTCTCCCATCCAAAAAAATGCACAGGGCCATCAGCGCAGAATTCTACCAGACCTTCAAAGAAGAGCTAACACCAATACTCTTCAAACTACTCCACAAAATAGAAACAGAAGGAGCATTACCAATGTTCTGTTCATTCTATGAAGCCATAGTCACCTTGATACCTAAACCTCACAAAGACCCAACAAACGAAGAGAATTTCAGGCCAATCTCCTTTGTGAACACTGATACCAAAATACTCAACAAAATACTCACAAACAAGAACACATCAAAGATATCATCCACTATGATCAAGTAGGATTCATCCCAGATATGCAGGGATAGTTCGATTTATGGAAATCCATCAATGTAATCTACCATATAAACAAACTGAAAGAAAAAAACATGATCATGTCCTTAGATGCTGAAAAAGCATTTGATAAAATCCAATACTCACTCATGTTTAAAGTCCTGGAGGGATCAGGTATATGAGGCACTTACCAAAACCTAGTAAAGGCAATATACAGCAAGCCTATAGCCAACATCAAACTAAATGCAGAGAAACTTAAATCAATCCCACTGAAATCAGGGTCAAGGCAAGGCTGCCCTCTCTCTCCATACCTCTTCAACATAGTTCTTGAAGTCCTTGCTAGAGCAATAAGATAATTGAAGGAGATCAAGGGGATACAAATTGGAAAGGAAGAAGTCAAAGTACCACTTTTTGCAGATGATATTTTAGTATACCTGAGTGACCCCAAAAATTCTACCAGAGGGTTCCTACAGCTGATAAACACCTTCACCAAAGTGGCTGGATACAAAATTAACTAAAAAAAAAAATCAGTAACCCTCCTGTACACAAAAGACAAATGGGCTGAGAAAGAAATAGGGGAAACAACACCTTTCACAATAGCCACAAAAGACGTAAAGTATCCTGGTATAACTCTGCCCAAGCAAGTCAAAGACTTGTATGAAAAAATTTTTCAAGTCTCTGAAGAAAGAATTAGAAGAAGATATCAGAAGATAAAAAGATCTCCCATGCTCATGGCTCAGCAGGATTAACATAGTAAAAATGGCCATCTTACCAAAAGCAATCTACAGATTCAATGCGATTCCCATCAAGTTACCAACACAATTCTTTACAGACCTTGAAAGAAAAATTCTCAACTTCATATGGAATAACAAGAAACCCAGAATAGTTAAAACAGTCCTCTACAATAAAAGATCTTCTGGAGATATCTCCATCCCTGATCTTAAGCTGTACTATAGAGCAACAATAATAAAAACTGCGTGGTACCAGCATAGAAACAAGAATAGTGGATCAATGGAACCAAATAGAAGACCCAGAAATAAACCCACACACACATAGATTAACAAAGAAGCCAAAACCATACAATGGAAAAAAGATAGTATTTTCAACAAACGGTGCTGGTCTAACTGGAAGTCCACATGTAGAAAAATACAAATAGACCCATATCTATCACTCTTCACAAAATTAAAGTCCAACTAGATCAAAGACCTCAACATAAAACCAGACACACTAAATCTGTTAGAAGAAAAAGTGGAGAAGAGCCACAAACTCATTGGCACAGAAGATAATTTCCTGCACAGAACATCAACAGCACAGTCTCTAAAATAAGACCTTGTGAAACTGAAAAGCTACTGTAAAGCAAAGGACACTACCACGAGAACAAAACGACAGCCTGCAGACTGGGAAAAGATCTTCACCAACCCTACATCCAATAGAGCCCTAATATCCAGAATATATAAAGAACTCAAGAAATTAGGCACCAACAAACCAAATAATCCAATTTAAAAATGGGGTACAGAGCGAAACAGAGAATTCTCAACAGAGGAATATAGACTGGCAGAGAAACACTTTAAGAAAAGCTCAAAATCCTTAGTCATCAGGGAATTGAAAATCAAAACAACTCTGAGATTCCATCTTATACCTGTCAGAAACACATGCTGGAGAGGATGTGGAGAGAGGGGAATCCTCCTCCATTGCTGGAGTACAAACTTGTACAACCACTCTGGTGCTTTCTCAGAAAATTGGGAATAGCACTACCTCAAGATCCAGCTATACCACTCCTGGGCATATACCCAAAAGATGCTCCACCATTCAATAAGGACATTTGCTCACCTATGTTCATAGCAGCTTTATTTGTAATAGCCAGAATCTGGAAACAACCTCGATGTCCCTCAGTGGAGGAAGGGATACAGAAATTGTGGTACATCTACACAATGGAATACTACTCATCTCTTAAGAACAAGGAAATGATGAAATTTGCAGGCAAATGGATGGAACTAAACAAGATCGTCCTGAATGAGGTAACCCAGAAACAGAAAGACAGGTATGATATACATTCACTAATAAGTGGATGTTAGCCATATAATATAGGATAGCCATCTGTAGATTTAAAGAAGCTAAACACTAAGGAGGACCCTACAGAGGATGCTTAAATCTCACTCAGAATGACAAACAGGATAGACACTAGAAGTGGTGAAAGAGAGGAAATAGGATGGGAGTCTACTATAGAGGGTCCTTGGAAAGGATTCATCCAACAGGGTACTGAAGCAGATTCTGAGACTCGGGGCCTAACTTTGGGCAGAGTACAACAAGTCTTATGGAGGAAGAGAGGGGTGGGATTAAATGGACATGGAGGGGACAGGAGCCCTACAAGGAGATCAACAAAACTAAAAGATCTGAGCCCATAGGGTGCTGCAGAGACTGATGTACCAACAGAGGACCATGCATGGAGACTGCTTGACCCCTGCTCAGATGTGGCCATTTGGCAGCTCAGTCTCTCTGGGTAAGGGGATCAGGGGCTGCCTCTATCATGAATTCAGTTGACTGCTCTCTGATCACTCACCCCTGATGATCCAGCCTTGTCAGGCCATGGAGGAAGAGGATCCAAGCAGTCCTGATGAGACTTAACAAGCAATGGGCAGATGGCATTAGTGGAGAACTCACCCTTTCAATGGACTAGGGAAAGGGGACGGGTTGGGGAGAAAGAGGAAGGGTGGGACAAGGGGAGTTGAGGGAGGGGCCTTCAATCTGTACTTGTAATGAATAAATTGTGAAGAAAAAAAATTTAAAATAAAAAGCAGAAACTAAAAAAAAAAAATTATTGAGGGTCACCTTATGCAAGTGGAATGCACCCGAATCTTGATTGTACCTGTGAGAGGTCAGACGTGGCCTCAGGTTGTACTCCAAAAACTTTCAGAAGCATTTTGGATTTTGAAATTTGGAATAAGGAACGCTCAACCTGTATTTAGAAATTATCAAGTTTAAATAGAAGTGAGAAACAGAGAGGCAGGCCCTGGGGGGCACTACGCATCAGGCTTCTCGGCAAAGTCTTCTGTCTCTGCAGAGCTGCTGCTCTTTCAACACAAGGTTCTTCCTGATGATCATGTGCAGCTTGGTGTTCTATTTGTACTCTTCCTTTAAAGGTCTCCCATTTTCTTTCATCTTTCTATTTATTGTCAGCTACCTTAAATCCTCTGCCAACAGAACAACAGCTTTTATAGCTGAGACAGAGAGAGAGAGAGAGAGAGAGAGAGAGAGAGAGACCACTATCTACGACAGGTCCAGTTGTCCTGTTTGAAAATGTCCAGAAAAAGCAAAGTCAAAGTCTTTGTGTTTCTGGGGACAGTGAATCCTCCCAAATGGTGCCACACACTTGGAGTCGCCAGCCTCTACCATATACTAGTAGCACTTGCCTAAGTGCTTACTTCCTCTGCCTTGGGAGAGAAACAGACTCGTGGGAAGAAAACATATCTCTGGTGTGGCTTTGGGAGAGTAATCCACCTCTTTGAGTTGATGCACAAACCCAAGCTTAAAGAGCCAGTAACTGCCAGGATGGCTGTCACCCTCAGAATGTAACTCTAACCCTTGATATAGTGCAATACTCACCATGCACACAGCCAGCTTCACCCCCTCCCAGCCCCTTCCTCACCGGGTCCTTCCTGTTGTATGTGTCTGCTTTAGGTGTCTCCACCATCCTCTTGCCTTGCCAACTGCATGCTCATGTATCAGACTCTCAACTTGTAACCAAGCCTGAAACCTTAAAGGTTTAGCATTAATTTCTCAGTTTTATGGGGAGAAAAAAAAAAAACAAGGGGAGATAAGAGTTATGCCAGCCTCAGTTTCCCATGCTTAGTATAATAAGTTTGAGCCTGATCTTCACATTACAGCCACAGAGCCTGAATGGCGAAACCAGTGCTGGGCATGGTAAGAGATGGCTGCAGCAAGCCCTCTGCACACAGCTGCCAGGAAGGGGACTCTTAGTGAGACTGATTACCAAGTGGAAGCTGGCAGTCTAGAAAAGATTCCAACCTCACACTAGCCTCACAAGCACAAGTGCCTGGGTTCAGATCCTCAACAGGAGTGGAAGCCAGCAGGGGCAGCACATCTGTTAACCCTTCACTGAGAGGTCGGAGACAGGAGGGTGCCTGGAACTCTGGCCAGTCACGCTAGCTAAATCAATGAGCTCCAGATTCAGGAAGAGACTATCTCAAAAACTAAAGGGGAGGTCCAGCAAGATGGCTTGACGGGTTAAGCCACCAAATCTGAAGACCTGAGTTCAATCCACAGGTCCTACGTTGTAAAAGCAAAGATTCCCGCAAGTTGTCCTCCAGCCTCCACACAGCCTGTGACACAGATGTGTCACACATGACAGATAAATAAGTAAAGAAGATGGGGAATAACTGATGAGGACCCCTGACATTGGCCTGTGCTCTCCACACACTTGAGCACCCATATATATATACACATGCGCACACTCATGAGAACTCTGCTTAGTGCATGCAGGACTTGGTGGGACCGGAACTGAGGAGCTTGGTACATGAAAGTCATCCACATCCGAGCCACAGAAGCCGTGGGTGTGTTAGCTCATGTGGTGAAGGCGTCTTAGGGCTGCAGAGGGGATGGAGGCAGCAATAGATAGAGAACAGTCCAGCAGAATATCCAGGCAGGCTGAGCACGATCACAAGGTCCCTTGAGATACGAGGCAGCAGAAGAAAAGAATCGGAGGACGTGTGAACACAAAGGAAAGACTAGAGAGAGGCAACTGGCTTTGAAAAGGGAGGAAGGGTCTCTAAGCCAAAAAGTCTGGGTGCCCCTGGAAGCTGGCAAAGGCACGAAAACAGATCTGCACTGGAGCCTGGATCTGCACGGAAACACAGGCTGACCTTCTGACCTATAGAACTATAAGATGATTATTAAGCTTGCATTTCATTTGTTATGAAAACCACATACGCTAATGCAACACTCCAGCCATCTTCTCCCTCCTCTAAGAAGCTCAAGGTGTGGATGTACACACCGCCTCCTGTGGGAGAAGAACTGTCCAGATGTCTCCATCCTGATCGCTGCATACAGATGCAGAGCCACAGAGCCAACCACACATGGAAAATGCAGATGCCAAGGCTGCAAACCAACCCGAGGACGGTGACGAAAACCAGGGCATGGGATAAATGGGAGCTGAATCAAAATTAAGGGTTTGAAATGTGAAGTTCTGACCAGGGATTTTTTTTTTAATTTTATTTTTCTTTTTAGTTATATTTTGTTAACTCTGTGTCCCAGCTGTATCCCGCTCCCTCATTCCCTCCCCAACCCCACACTCCCTCCCTGGTCTCCTCCCTGCCCCTTTCCAAGTCCACTGATAGGGAAGGACCTCCTCCCCTTTCATTTGACCCTGTTTTATCAGGTATCTTCAGGGCTGGCTGCAAAGTCCTCCTCTGTGGCTTAACAGGATTGTTCCTCCCCTGGCGGGGGGGGGGGGAGGGTGTCAAAGAGCCTGCCCTTGAGATCCTGTTAGAAATAGTCCTTGTTCCCCTTACTTTGGAAACAGGGAATCATATGAAAGAAGGGGAGTTAGTATGATATGGAAAGGATAGGAGCTCTACAAGGACCAAATATATCCGGGCACAGGGTCTTTTCTGAGACTGACACTCAACCAAGGACCATCTATGAATATAACCTAGAACTTCTGCTCGGATGTGGCCCGTGGTAGCTCAGTAACTGACCAGGGATTATTAGCCTCACTGGGTGCAGCCGTGAGCGGCTTTAGCTTGATATTGTAAGCACCTCAGAGTGAACAAACAGCAAAGAGGCTGTCCCGGGATTAGGACAGAAATTGTAGAGTAGCTGGAAGGCCTAACTCTGAGATCTTGGTGTTCCTAATCTGAACCATGGTCTTCTTCCATTCAAGTGACATAAGTCTACATTAGAAATAAATGACAATTTATTGTGCTGTAAGTGTTGCTCCTATGAAATTTACTGCTAGGGGATTCGAGCAGAGAAGGCAAGCAGGGGGTGAGAGAGAATGCCCTCTGGCGGGTTCAGCATTGGCAACAGTTTCGACTTCAGTGTTTGGTTGACACACAATAACCATCAAATGTACCAGTCAAAAGCACATGTCCAGGGTCCGTTGAAAACTAATGAGAACCGGGATAAAGGTCATCCCTGTACAAAGGAACCTCACCCAAGCCAACAGAAGCATGAGGTCCAGAAGGAGAAAGAAAAGAATGCAGAAGGACACCCCACCTGCACATGTCTTTAGGTGGGTGCCAGAGGGGTGGAGTGACTTGTTTTCAGTGCACAGGGCTGAAGGAGGGAAGCTGGTACATGAAAGACCTCTCCACTGGGATTCCCACTGCACACAGCTTATTTAAACTAGTTAGGAATGTCTGGGGTCTGGAGTGCTTAGATTTAACTTTCTACTTTCCTCTTTCAACTCCCAAGCATTTTTTTAATTGTTTTTACGTGTATGGGTGTTTTTGCATGCAGGCATGTCTGTGCACCACATGTGTGCCTGGAGCCCACAAAAGCAGAAGAGGGCATTGGACCCCCTGAAACGGGAACTATAGGTGGCCATAAGCCACCATGTAAGTACTGGAAATAGAATCCTGGTCCTCCAGAAGAACAGCCAGTGCTCTTAAATACTAAGCCATCTCTCCAGCCCTCAGTCCCCAAGCACTTTAAGAATGTTTGTTAAGTAATTACATATTAACCTACCCTTAGAAATTTTTAGTGTATTCAGTGACAAACTCTCTGGGTCAATTTGAAGGAAACTGTCTACAAATCAGAGAAAGGCTACACTCCACTGTCCATGGCTCTCAGACCGGCAATGAGGGGTCCCCTCCATTACACACTGTGAACAATTTACAACACACACATACTCAAGATTACTCCAGAAGACTGAAAGGAGCTGCCTAAACATCAAACACAGTACAGAAAATGAACTGGAAAAGAGCTAGGAGTTTCAAAAAGAGAAGAAGAAGAAAGAAGAAGGAAGAAGGAAGAAGGAAGAAGGAAGAAGAGGAGGAGGAGGAGGAGAAGAAGAAAAAGAAGAAGAAGAAGAAGAAGAAGAAGAAGAAGAAGAAGAAGAAGAAGAAGAAGAAGAAGAAGAAGAAGAAGAAGAAGAAGAA